GTCCTACAGGTATGTGTGTGTCCTACAGGTATGTGTGTGTCCTACAGGTATGTGTGTGTGTCCTACAGGTATGTGTGTGTCCTACAGGTATGTGTGTGTCCTACAGGTATGTGTGTGTCCTACAGGTATGTGTGTGTCCTACAGGTATGTGTGTGTCCTACAGGTATGTGTGTGTCCTACAGGTATGTGTGTGTCCTGCAGGTGTGTGTGTGTCCTACAGGTGTGTGTGTCTTTAGCTCCAAGTAAACCTGGAACACATCAGCTGCTACTTGATTCACTCATCACCAGTGAAAACAGACTTTATTCATACTGGAGCTGTTAGTTCTGAAGCTTTGTGGTCAGATTGTACACATTCTGTGTGTGTCACAGTTGTGTTGTTCTGTGAGTGTAGCTGAGGACACACCATCATGAGGTCTGGTGTTTTCAGGCTGACCTGCAGCAGGGTCTGACCCAGGAGGAGGTGGACCGCAGGAGGAAGTACCACGGCTGGAACGAGTTTGACATCAGCGAGGACGAGCCGCTATGGAAGAAATACATCCTACAGGTAAAACAGGATCTTCAGCAGGAGGAGGAGGAGGAGGAGGAGGAGGAGGAGATGCTGGTGCTAAATGCTCTTGGTGTTGTTTCTGCTCTAATGGGTTAAACTGGTTCCATCTTCCACCCTGGAAACAGGAAAGCAGGTCATGTGACTCGTGCAGCTGAAAATAGAGCTGGTCGGGTCGTCCTGGTTCTGACTGGGTTTCATGTCCTGCAGCCTGTAAACACAGAATCATTCATGTTAGTTTTGATTAAACATCCTGAGCTTTGTTTTCTGCTCCTCCTTTAAATAAAACAGTTGTTTACATGTTGTTTACACACAGGTGTTTGTGTTTATTGTTGAAGTATTTCATTTAGATCTTATAGATGATGAGTTTAATAAACTGTTTGACATAAAACAGGTTAAAATCGTTTTAATAAATAAGTATTGATGTTTTAATGATTACATCCAGAGTTTAATCCAAAACACAAACAGTTATTCTAAGGTCCATTTTATGTGGCTGGTTAAACACTAGTTTGTTAACACTATCTGGTTGTTGGGTTAACTGTAGTTTATTATCCCTGGATGGTTAACCCTAAAGGGTTAACCCTGGTTGGTACACTGGTTGGTTAACCCTAGTTGTTGGTTAACCCTGGATGGTAACTAGGGCTGTGTATTGGCAAGAATTTGGCGATACGATACATATCATAACAGAGGGGTCACGATACGATATATCCCGATATATTGCGATACTATAAACAAGGCGATATACTGTGATATATTGCGATTTTTTTGTCCAAAAATTCTATTAAATAAAAACCTCTTACAGGGAAATAAATGAAAAAACAAAATTCATTGTCTCAGAAAATTCTAATATTACATAGACATGCTTTTGATACATTTAGCTGTGTTCTGCTTTGTATGTGTTTTATTTTATTTGTTTCATATTTCTTATTTCATCCATGTTTTCAATTTTTAGACTAAATTTGACAATAAATAATTTGAAAATATATTTTGCAGCTTTTAGTTTTTAATATTAATTTACAATATGGTCACCCAACACTTAACAAT